GAATATTTATCGTTCTATAAGTTAAATCCTTCGCGAAAATTTTCAAGAACTAGAAATTAATTGTAAATAACAAAATAGTCCTGAAATAATACTTTACGGAGAAAGGACGCGGGCGGCGGACCAGAAACTAAAGATTAACTTGTAGTGGCCTTATTACAGTTCTAGTGTGCCAATTTTCCGAACCAAAAAGGAAAGGGCATATGCGTTTAGTATCATGAAAATTATTGACGGGCGGGCGCGAGCTGAAGAAAGCGCCCTGCTGAAGACCATGCATCAATTTCCGCGAATAATCTTGTTTATTTAGGGTGCGTTAAACAGAGAAGAAAACTGGATATCATGGAAGAACGCTGGCTGCCCAAGTTTCATAAAAGAAAAGTTAATATTCCACGTTTAACATTTGCAGTTTATATCAGAACTTTAGTTTTTTTCTTACAGTCATCATAATCAAGTTTGTGCTTTTGTTTTAGAGAAGAGACAACGGCAGAGACCACAAAAACGTGAGTAAAGATTTTTAATGTTATATAGCCTTTTTTTGGTAGGTTATTCATGCAGACGTGTTATTTTCTACCAGCTGAGGAACGAAAGAGGCAGAAAATGGTTTTCTCATGCACTGCTGGGGACTGGATCTAGGGTGGGTTCAAGGTCGTCAGAGTCACTTTTTCCCTTGCCTCTTGCTAGCCTGACCTGTGTCCTACCCACAGGCCACCCTATTGGCAGGAAGTGCCTAAGCTATTATGTAGTTGCAGTAGTCATGACTATAGTTTGGTTTAGTCTAACGTGTGATAACTAGTTTGATGAGATGCAGTAATTTATTGTAGATACGCGATTTTTGTTCAGTAAAGGTCAGGCGCATTCCTCAACAGTGTATGAGAAATTAATTTAATTTTCAGATCAAGGAAACGCAAGGCAAAGGACAGTATTGCCAATATTACAGCAGGCTCCAAGATTGATATGGGAAGGTGAGAGCTAATCTGGCGTTAGTCAGTTGCGTGGCTAACCATAGCAACAGGTCATGCTATGACTTGCATTATTCTAATATTTATTCAGGGCCTCAGAGGGGGGACAAATGGGAGCGGGGCCCCAAAAGGGTGTAATTAAAAAATTATTTGGAACGTTTTTTTATATAAGTAATGGTATGAGAAAATTTTTAGACCTTAATTTTACTAGTATTGGTCTGAAAAAAAGTGTTTTACCCGTGATTTTACAGGTATTTGTTCTGAAAAAATTTTGAATCTTTGAAATGTCCGGAAAAAAGTTTTAATCCCTCCCCACGGTTGCCAACAGTTTGGGGAAAAATAGGGGATCCGAATTAAAAATTTGCCCCAGTCCCCGAATTTCTCTGTGAGGCCTTGTATTTATTATTAGCTATGCTATGTTAATAGGCATAGCATGACCAGTTGCCGTGTCTAGCTTTACCACTAGCTCGAAAATGATTCCTTGATTGTATTCTTTTTGTTCATGTTTCTAGTACCGAGCTAACACGTCTGTGGAATTTATGTCCTGATAATATGACGGCTTGTAGATCCGACAAGAGGTATAAATACAATTCACATTTTTCATGTTGTATAAACACACCAAGCCAAAGTCATATCAAACTGTCAATATTTTCCAGAAACTTTCTTCCTGATTTGAAAGGATTTTTTGAAGAAGCCATTGATCAAGCAGACCCAGAAAGTCAGATTGAAGAACAATATAAGTACGGAAAATTTGAATTTGATATCTCGCTATGATATCCCACATAAGATTTCACGCTTCGAAATATTTTTAACTTTGGAGATCGGTAATGTTACTAATGTTGTCGTCTTATTTTTAGACTCGTAAATGACCCAAAGTTTGGCTGGAAAGGTAATTACAAAATCTAGTATGATCTCTTCCCAATTCTAATCTCAAAATTTCCGGGGAATTCCCCCCCCCCCTTTTACCCCCACCTCCATTAGCAACTGTGCCCCCATATCCCTGCTGCAGCTTGTTCGGCGGCGCTACACGCCCGTAACTCAAATCCCCACCCTATATTTGCGGCATTCTCCCTCCCGGAGCAAAATCTGAAAATCCTTCTGGAATATATTTGACCATAATTCCAGCTGTTTTAACCCAGATTTATATTATTTCTGATGCATTTTTGTAGCGTTAAGACTCCTATCCAGACGAAGTCAACATTTCTTTCAATCCAGTACCAATCCTTTCAAGACACTCCCACAATATTTAGAGCTAGCCATTCAACAACTGGGACAAGAACTAATGGTATGGTCATTTTTCGAACTCGTAAAGAATCCGCAAGCAAAATCAAACTAAAGTAAATTTGCCATTTTTAAGATGAACTTGTCCAACGTATACATATAGGGAATTTCTGTACAGTGTTAAATTATTGTAATAGGCCCTAATTGATTTTCAAATGAAATACAGCACGCAAAAATCGCTTGATAAATTCGTCTATTGATCTTCGACATGTCTTTAGGAACGATGTGTAGTATTTATCGTATCCTTTGCAGGCCTCGAATTTCCCTGAAATCAATCGACGGCAATGGCGTTAATTCGTTAAAAATTGCTGTAGAACGTAACAGCTGCCTACGGCAATTTGGGCAGTTCCCACGGCATTTTTTCAAATTACTTTAACAAAAATTTAATTTTATTGTTGATATAGTAATTTAGTGAATAGTATAAAAATTCTACTATACGGCAAAAAATTGCCGTCGTTTCCGCAATGATTCACGGCATTTTGTATTCCCTCTACGGCGATTGCCGCGATAAATTCAAGCCCTGATTCTTTGACTGAAGTAGTTTTATTTTTACAGCCACCTATTAAAATTGAAGATGATGTTGTTGAAAATGGTGAGTGTTTTATCACAACCGTTGATTTTGTAGAGTATACTTCATGCATGGTCATCGGACAGAATCTTTTTATTTTATGCAGCGCCCTGATTTTATATGTATTATTTCATCCGCTTTTAGGGCATGTTTCCATCTCGGTTAGTTAGTTTGTTAAGAGTTAAGAGAAACCCTCTCGCTATACATTTAGAGCAAGACCGGATTTTGATGCAAATAGTGGGGGAGGTGGAAAAAATTTAGGGGAGGTGCAGCAGTCTAGCTCACGACCCCCATGGAAAGTTGGGGCTTAGAACGGGCCAAAGTCAACGTGATGTATGCATGTATAGTGTACATATGTATCAGTGAGTGTATTAATGAAATATAGTACGACTCGTTCAATTTTTTCCCTTCATTACAATTACTACAAAGTTTCTTTCAAAACATTGCATTAAAAATGTACTTGACATGCACAGAGATGAATGGCTATCACTGTTTCAATTTTACATAAAAACTTTCTTACTAAGTGTTGACCCTAAGCAACCGAAAACGTCAAATTTTCACTTTGATCTATAATTGGAACTTTCCCAAGGGGAGGTCCATGACTTTTCAGGGGAGGTGCAAAAATTCTCAGGGGAGGTGCACACCTCCCCTCAAAATCCGGCCATGATTTAGAAACAGCAGCTACTGTTCGTATCGAACTTGTAGACAAGTACCAGTCAGGGGCGAAACTTGAGGGGGTATGGGGGGGGGGGTGACAGTCCCCAAAATACAAATCATCTGGATTGGCAGGGCAATCAAAGATTTTAAATGATAGAGTGTAGAGTTATTAAGTAACTTACAGGGCTTTCAGAGGGAATTGAATAGAATTTATAGACCTAAATTTTACAGATACTGGTCCAAAAATAAGGGTTTCACCCATATTTTAACAAGAATTTGTACGGAAAAATGTCCGGAAATGGTTTATGTCCAGAAAAAGTTTTTAACCCCCCCCCCCGCTGGCTAGAAATAAAAATTTGCTGCAGAGCATCATTGGTTTTGGCAGGGCAATTCTGGCAGACCCCCCCGCCCGAATTAAAAGGGGCTAGTTTCGCCCCCTGGTCACAGTAGTTGTAAACACGTAAAAACGCACAAGTTATAACAAACCTGCAGCAGACTTGTACCAATGCTGTTCCAACAACTTGTCAACAGGATGTGTTCGCACTGCTTGTTCCCAGCTTGTTGACAACTTGCTACAAGGTTGTTGACTTCAACAGACTTGTTACAAGTTGTTCCAACAACTTGTTATCGTCCTGCAATTCATCAATTTGTCAACAAGTTGCGAGTGACAACCTTGTAGCAACATGATAAAATAACAGCATTGTTACAACCGGTTGACAAGCTTGCTACAAGCCTGTTGCGAACACATCTTGTTGACAAGTTGTGAGATTTTTACGTGTATACTTTAGGTACACCTTCTGAAGAAAAAGAGCCTGAAACCAAGCCACCGATCGTTAAGCAAGAAAAAGTTGACGATTAACAATTGCGGTAAAATAGACAAGCAAACAATGTTTTATAGTTAGAGTTTTATTTATTTTTATTCAATACAAGTTGACCTAATATTCAAATTCGTATTCAAAATATGACGGGTCGAACTGGTGCAGCCGTACGTAGCCATCTTCGCCTCCACTGCTGTAACTGTAAAAGAAAAACAAAGTTAACTTTAGACTAACAAGAAACCTTTTTGAGCCAGAATATCTCGTTTGGTAACGCGAATGATTTTCTATTAATTAATAGACGCTTTCTGAATAGCTCGAACTGACTCGTATGCACGAAACAATCGCTCGAACTAACTAGACAATGTGTGAAGCCTTGTCTATCACTGCAACAATCTGTCTTACATGCAAATGGTTTTGGCAGTGTAGTAGTTAGCGCATTCCTTCATCTTCTGCGAGCAATCATTCAGTCATTTCATCGTAATTTTGCCTCAGTTGAAAATGTTCAACTGAAGAAGATCGGAGTTGACGGATTCGTCAGCAGAGCTTTGCAAAACAAACGCGGCCGAAATCAAGCATGTTTTTTTGCTCTTTAATTCATTGACGAACCTTTTGCCATCAGGATGAAATGTGACGCTGTTGATAGGTCCAAAATGACCTTTGACACGTCCTATTTCTTCTTCAAATACCATGTGAAAGAATCTGGCGTCAAACTTTCCTATCCTTGTCGATGTCGTTGTTACATCCATGGCTTCCTGACCGCCACCCAGAACTACCTGTGGTTTTAAAATAAATGTGAAAGAATAAGGAAACCACATCCTTCAATTAAGGCTGGGTTTACACTATCAAAGTTTCTGTGATCACAGTAGGAATTTGGCACAGGTAAATTCTAAGTTTTGAAGGATTTGTAAGAAATGTTTGAGGGAACTTTTAAACCGTAAACACCCGAGTCTGTGTTCCCGCAAACATTTCTTACAAATCCTTCAAAACTTAGAATTTACCTATGCAAAATTCCTACTGTGATCACAGAAACTTTGATAGTGTAAATCCAGCCTTTAATGCTACCATACCGTACATTTATTTTGTATTTATCATACTAACATGATGTTTCAACGAAGACAGAGATGCTGAATTTACTGGTCTTTCAGTTTTGTATGTTTTCAAGTGTTCCAAGCTATCAGAATCAAAAAGCTGCAAAAACAATATGAATTTAAAACGTGTGATTCTTGTCCTGTATTTTCTGTGGGGAGGGGGTGGGGGGCTCACCCCACAGGTCAAAGAAACAGCTATGCAGCATAAGTACCCACCTTGGCTGTGGTGTCTTTAGATGCTGTAACAAACATAGTTGTATCATGGTATGGTTGAATGTCATTCACCGCTTTTGTGTGACCCTCAACATTCAGTAAACGTTGACCACTCTGGAAACAAACAAATAAATAAAATTTGTAAGCATCAGAATAACCTAGTGAATTTTTCATGAAGTTGTTGGAGATGCCAGTCAATTGGAATAACCATCTACCTTAGAATCCCATTGACAGACTGTACCATTTTCATGACCAGCAATTATGTAGTAATCTAGTGGACCCCATATTGCTGAGGTAACTTTTGGACCATCCACTGGTATGCTTAGATATGAACTGTTGTGACCTATAGAAAATAAAATTACAATGAATTTCTACTTGTACCAAGAAGGATTCAAACTTGCAACTTTGCCTGTTATTATGAGAGGAAAGCTAGAGGTCTCAGTAAGGATCATCTCTTATTGATCTCGAGTTACTACAGGAGGAAACCTAAACTAAACTAACTTTATTTACACTGGATAGCTCTATCAGTTCTAAACTTTCTCCCTAGAGTCTTTGCCAATGCAACCTCAACTGGTGTATGTGACCCTTACCCATCTGTGCTGAATCTCTGATATCACAAAAGAATATTTCACAAGCGTGACCCATCTGTTTGTCTGTTGAGAACATTATTCTGTTGCCACAATACGAGAAAGCGCATGTCCGCACTGCAGATCTTGTGTCGAACTTCCCGAGTTGTGTTCCAGTCTCTGTGTCCCATAGCCTTAGACTGTTGTCAGCTGATCCTGTTATGACCTTGGTAGTCGTCCCTGATTGAACTGTTAAGGAACACTACCACCCAATAACAGAGGCTCTTTATTCAATTTTTTTAGAGATCACCCTTTGTTAATATTTTCATCGTGACTACACATCAGGCACCATTTTTCCTGTGATATATATGCTTTTTTAGGTGCGATAGTTCAGATACAAACCTTGACAGATAATAGTCCATGTCACAATTTATCAAAAAAAGTACCAGTATTTGATCAGTTCTGGGAATATTAACAATACAATTTCATTACTATCTAAAAGGATACAATCTACGTCAATACACCATACAGCACCACCATGGCCTTTATATGTACCTAGTCTTTCACCATTTATTGAATACCACACTGACGGTGAACTGTCTTTAGCAGACGAGAATAACAAGTCACCATCTCTGCTATATTTTATATGTGTAATGGAACGTTCATGACCGTGTAGAGCGATTGGCCTCTAAATGAAGATCAAATGATTAACAGCTACAGTCGTACCTCGGACATAGATACTTGAATGGACACTGACAGCACAGTGTCGATATTAGAGACGTGTCCTTTTTATAGAGGTTTTGAAAGAAAATATATGAGAATTTCTGGCACACTTGTTGCCAGCTTCGTTTTAACGCACAGATGAAACAATTGAAAGGGACTGGAATTGATGTCCAATAGCTCCTTCAATTTTGCTATCTTCGCTTCACTTTTTGGCCTCGAGTTCTCACTCTATAGTTATATATGGGAGCTCACTGCTCTTGACTCGGAATTAATTGTCCATCAGTTTGTTGGTATGTTGTTGTCACTTGTATATAAACATGACAGTATTTGGTTGCATTTTATGTGGTTTTTTAACTCAGTGATTACTCAGGTATGGTTAAGTAAACAATTTCATAATCTGCTCATTTACTAAACATCGCTTTTGATAAATACTCGAAGAACAAACTGACAAACGATGACACTAGTCACACTATACACATCATACATGCAAATTATAAACCGAGCAATCCAACCTTACAGACATAATTTTTTATGTTATTTAATTCTCCACGACTACTACAGTACTCACTTAATACTCTGGCAAAAACCCCCGACAAATATACATACCATTTTTCTCTGTATCAATCTTTTTCAGTAAATTTTTATATACACGTTTTTTTGTTCTTTTTTGAAGACGCTGGTCAGCGGTCATTCCCTTAAGCAAAGAGCGATTTGGAAGAATGGGAACGACTTTGCAATCAAGCTAGCCTGCAAAGCAGGCGCCGCGAGCGCCCGCTTTGCAGGCTAAATATTTTGATTCGCAAAGCTAAAGTTCATGTGCATAACACGTGCGGTTGTCAGAAAATGGCCGACGAAAACGGCATTGAAATTTTAGACACATCTTTCAAAGCTATTTCCGAATCGGACGAGAACTTAAACAGGTTAAAACTCTTGAATTTTAACAATATTTTATGCGACCTACTATATTTGCCACGTAGTTGTTTATGAATGTGTATAATTTTACGGTAAACAGGTGTTCATTCATTCGCATTTTTTGCTTCAGGTTGGCGCCTGGTTCCCCCAAATGTAAAAGCCTTGGCAAAGGCAGAAGGGATAAAGTTTGGAGACATGGAAATAGGACAATTTATACTGCAGGTATACAATAATAAAATGTACATATTACTTGTACATTTGTTTTTGAACTAGCAAAGTTATTTTGGCGTCTTTGATAAGTTGTTTACATATTTATTATTTTATTTATGTAATTATCTCAAGTACTTTTAAATCCGCTTACAGTAAATTATGTACAAAAATGTTATCTATAAATATGTTTTCAGTACGGTACATTTAATTATTATCCCATCGCCCCATTCTGGAAAAATACACTGTTTAACTAATTGACCAATTACCATACAATTCTCTCTCTTTCACAAGTTAAATTATATGAAACACTGAGGGGCCGATTACATGGAGGTTTTCAGCCCGGGATGAAATTTCAGCCCGGAAAACCGGGATGAAATTTTGGCCTGGGGCCCCTATAAATTAAATATAAAATGATTTTTACGATTACATGGAAAAATTTCAACCCGGGCTGAATTTCATCCCGTGTTGAAATTTTCATCCCGGTTTATGTCACCCGGGATGAGATTTTCAGCCATGTCAACCGGGATGAAATATCCCATGTAATCACAAATAATTTCAGCCCGGGCTAAAACTCAGCCTGGATTCAAACTGCCCATGTAATCGTGATGCTATTTCAGCTCGGTTAACCAGGCTGAAAACTCTCCATGTAATCGGCCCCTAAAAATTGTAAAAAATAAAGCAGGAGACTTTGAGTCACATTTGCCTCTCAGCAGGTTCAGAGGATTTTGGTTTTCACAATTTGATTACTATAATTAGGTCGGCCACCATGGTACAATTCACAAGGGCAGTTAAAAGAAGCATTTGTGATTGGTAAGTTTTATTTAGGTCGGCCATTGTAATTGGCCATTGGCATTGTAATTTTGAAGTAGGCTGCAGCAATCATCTACATATGATGAGAAGAACTGGATTGTGGTTGGCAAAAAATTGCCGATCTGGGACGTTGACAGGTTTGGCATTTAGATCAGCATTGCTGAATGCTGACCTCATTTTTGAGGGTTGAGCCGTGGAAAATGAAACTTAATATATCATATTAAATTACTCAGTCTATAAATGCTGGACCAGCAATGTCCACTTCGTTCTGCGCATCAGTTCTGCTCATAACAAAGGGGGACCCCCAGATATAAACATTGCCCAAATTTTGCATCTTTCAAACTTTTTTGAATTGAAACCAAATACAAGTGACATTCCATGTGGCTTATTCAAGGAATATGTGGTGGTAGTGCCAGTGGCAAAACGACGGTTGCAAAGAAAATTATTGAAGATCTTGGTGTACCATGGGTGTGTTTGCTCTCAATGGACTCTTTTTACAAGGTAGGACGTACAGAGCTTATCAACCCGATGCGGATTAAAATCACATACGTAAAAACGTGATTGTTTTTACAGGTACTAACAGACGAGCAACATGAACAAGCGTTACAAAACAAATATAACTTTGATCAACCAGGTATTTGTTAGCTTTCTAAATGAAGCATTTTATATTCTTATATATGCATGGGTGACGAGTTCATGAACGTCATTTTACAGCCAGGAGTTATATGTATTCTATGACTATTTCACTTTGTGATTACTGGTACTTTGTTTGTATTTAGAGTCCTTTGATTTTGATGTTGCCATTGAAACATTAAAAAAATTGAAAGAAGGAAAAAGTGTTGAGGTATGGTGACATGACTGATTTGTAGCAATCTTTTACAAACTGCAACACAGAAGGCGATCTGATTCAGAGGCCGCGGAAGCATTTCGAAAGTGGAGGGGCATTGGCCAAAAGGGGCACTTTTGTATATGATCAAAATGAAACGACTCTCGTTGTTCACGACCCAAACGAAAAGTTTTGAAAATATGGAGTCTCTATAACAATTGAAATGGCCTTTACAGACTCTTTACTGCTGCGAAAAGGGCACTTTCTTTCCAGCAAAAGAGGGCATTCATTCAAGAAATACGTTTTTCGTTCTTTAAATAGGGCACTTTAGCCCAGAAAAAAGGGCACTTCTTTCACTTTTAAAAAAGTGGGGGGGCACATGCCCCCATTGCCTCCCCCCGGTTCCGCAGCCCCTGGTCTCATTGCCATGCATCTTAAAAGCTACTGACAGAGTTGAAAGCAGTGAATGTATGTAAGGGAGCATTCATTTTTTAGCTGGGGGGGTGGGCCGGAGGAATTTGGGGGTGGGTCAGCCAATTTTGACATGCTTCAAAGGGGTGGGTCTTTTTATACTTTTGGTATAAATGGAGGGGGTCATAAAAATAATCAGTGAAAAAATCACCAATATAATTTTATAGAATTTGGAAATATTTGGATCAAGAATGGTAAAAAGGTCCAGAATCTATCTCGTCATCTATAACAATAAAGCAAAATTCATTTGATGCTCTGTTCACACAGTCCATAGGAAAACATTTCCATGACGTTCGTCAATTGACCTTGTTTTTATACGTTTTTGTGTGAAAACATGAATGAAAGAAAACGCAGGACCGTAGCATGATTTCAAACTCATGCATGATTTCAAAGAGCGCATGACTTCAAAATCATGCAGCCTTTATCAATTTTAAGCTTTATTAATTTTAAGCGGCTACATTATCCATGACAAACTGCAAAGAATGAAGATAGTACCCACAGTTTCCTGCAACTTATCTTAGTTATCCAATATATAGTAAATTAAATATGCCTTCGCCCATTTAGTACTACCAAATTGTCAATTTCGACATACTAAAACGCTGTTTTCTGACCATCATCTGTCAAATCTTCCCCAAAGGCCAGGAAATGGCATTTCAGAGACTCTAAATTTAAAAATTTCCTCGGGCCTTCGGCCCTCGCTTTCAGCCCCCAATCAAAAAGTGTTTCCTACAGCCTTGTAACGCTATGGAAACGACACCGTGTGGATTAATAGTTAGGATGAGGGGTCAAAAAATTTTCAGTAAAAAATATAGGGGGTCATAATTTTTTATCAACTTTTGTCTTGGGGGTTCCAAGTTTTCGCATGGAATTAGACATCAGTTCCTCCGGCCCACCCCCCAGCTAAAAAATGAATGCTCCCTAAAAGGTGGAATGGCATGTGGAATGACTGTGCAGAAATGGTTAGACAATGGTTAGGGGTTAGGATGAGGTCTTGGGTTAGTGTTAGGATTGGAATTAGGGTTGCATTCCTTTTTTCACTCATTGTTTTTTCACCAAGTTCAAACTAGTGAAATCTTGAACTGTAGACATTTGATTTGCATGTTCTTCGTAATAATAGGTTCCTGTTTATGATTTCAAAACTCACCAGAGGTTAAAAGATGCACAGGTAAAATACCATTTTCAATAATCACCTGGCTTCCTGCCATGATTTGTGCATACTAGCACATCACAAAAGTCTGTTTTAATATCTGTTTAATTTTCATGTCATCAGAATACAATGTATGGTGCTAATGTCATAATATTTGAGGGAATCATGGCATTCTGTAATGAAGAATTATGCGAGGTTGGAGACTTGACAACTTGTCGTATGGATTATTTTCCATTTCCTTGTGGTGTCTTCTTGTACATATTAAAAAATTATTGCCAATCTCTATTATTGTATCAACATCGCTAATTAGTTTTGGTTTGAGCCTTGAGGGTTGAAATTCTAAAGCAATTTTGACAAATATCCAGCTATTTTAATATTTTACATATTGTAGTTAATGGACACAAAAATTTTCGTGGATACCGATGCAGATGTGAGGCTTGCTCGAAGGTACATTTTTGACCAATCAACTTGTAGGATTTGTTCTGTTCACTTGTGCAAAAATACTAATAACATATACTGACGAATGTTTAACTTACAAGCTTTGCTATTACTTCTTTTATAAGGTTGAAACGTGATATTTCGGAACGAGGTCGTGATCTCAGCGGTGTGCTACAACAATATAATACCTTTGTTAAACCTGTGAGTAGTAATATCATAGTCATAGTATGAAAGGTTTTTATGTAGTATTTGAGTCAAGTTATAATTATAATCTTAAAAATTTCACAAGAAAATTTTGTTTGTCACACATTTTTTCATTTCCAGTCATTTGAAAAGTATATTGCTCCAAGTATGATATGTGCTGATATTGTTGTACCAAGAGGTATATATTAGGCCATAGACGCAGCGATCCTACCGTACTTAACATGTTGCAGTATGATTTGGCATTATTGTAGGGGAAGTAGTACCTGAAAGGTAGAATGCGTTCAGGAAAGAGCCTTACGGGCAATATATTGTGACTGGAACGCCTCTTATAAGCAGTTATTCGAATGGGCTAAGCTACCCACCTTATTAAATAGAAGACTGCAAGATATTGCGACCATCATGTATAAGGTCAAATCTAAGATCTGCCCAAATTACATGGTAGACATGTTTTCCAGAAACTCAACAGTATATAACCTAAGAATAAAGGAATTTTGTATCCCCAGATTTAATACAGTGCACTACAGTAAACATTCTCTTAGATATTTTGGGCCACTTTAACCAGGAATGTGCTAGGTAGTTTATTGATCCAGTTCCTGGTTGAATTTAACCAGAGTGTTTTTAGAGTATACTATATGGTCTAAGCTACCAGAAAACTTTAGAGACTTTAATGGCTAGTGATGACTGTAGGAACTGCTCAGTATGTAGTATATGGTAGTATTGTAAATATTTTAGCTGTAGGAATTTACCTACCTAGAAATTAATTATTTATGTAGATAGTGTCCGTATATTTAGTGGTTTTATACTGCTATCATTTTTTTTTTGACACTTAAATAAAGTTATTATTATTATTATTACTCCTGGGTTAGTTGGTGTACAAAGTTTGATGTACAAACAAATACATATTTCTTTCAGGCGGTGAGAATATAGTGGCAATAAACATGATAGTAAGACATGTAAAACAACAGTTACTCGAGGTTTGTGTAGTTCTCTTTTAAAATATGTCGTGTGTTTTCAAATTTGGCGTGTCTTTTTCAATTCTCTACCTCAGCTTATTTCTCTTTTTATGTTTTAAACAACAGAGGGGATTTCATATAAGGTAGGCGTACAAAATTACGTGAATTATTTTGAGGTCTGGAGTTAAATATAACACACTTTCAATCTTTCATTGTTAAATATAACACACTGTAATTGGTGTCATTTCTGCCAGATCTAAACTGATCACAGCTCATCAAGGACAACGGTTACCTGACAGTTTACATGTGGTTGAAGCAACGCCGCAAGTCAGGGGAGTACAGGCAATAATCAGGTCTGTGAAGGAAAAATTGACTGGACAAATTAACAAGACACATTGGCAGATTGTTTGGTTAACCCATTAGAGTGTAAGACTCTCTCCTTGAGTCTGGCGTTAGACAGAGTAAAAGAATAAAGTAGGGCACATTGCTGCTT